TAATGCCGCTAGTACTCAGCGGGCTAGGAGTGAAAGAATGAAAGAGAAAACTAAGAATGAGGAATATGATTGGCTGTAATATGATTGGCTGGTGTCAGCCATAAATGCAGACTGATTTGGACGCCTATTGCCTACCAATACGACGAGGACCAGTCCATGACAGTTACCTGCTAGATTGTCCTACTCGGTTACAGTAGTCCAAAACCACTTTGCTACTTCGAACAAATATATCCCTTTTCAGGACATATCAGAGCCATAAGTAGCAATTAGATAAATCTAAAATATAAAAGGGCTGGGGTTTTAAAATTCGCAAGTAGTGAAATTCAAAATTTAGTCTCTCTGGTTCATTCAAAAGTATCTTCAAGAAAAAAAAAAAACAAGTGGAGAATCTTTACGCTAATATTAATATCGCTGCGATTTCAAAAGTAAGCCCGAAAGTTGCAAGAAGTAATTCTTAAAATTTACTTGTGCTGGGATTTCAAATATGGCCCCCGAAATTGCACGTCGGGTTATTAAAAATTTAATAATATAAAAAAAAAAAAAACAGAAAAAATATAACTGAATTTCATAGTTAGCGAACTTAAAACTCTAGTAAAGCTAAGATTTGTAAAGTAAACCAAATTTTACAAATAATGAAATTTCAGAATTTATTTGCGTTTGGATATCAAAAGTCGTGGGCTTATGGTTATATCACGTTGAAAGACCAGTTCCCGTACGGTCACCGAAGTTAAGCAAATCCGAGACTTGTCAGTACCTAGATTGGTAACCACTTAGAAATATCAGGTGCTGAATGCTTGGATGTGTGTCTGGTATAATGGATTATGGTTCGCAGTTGTTTACCGGAGAGCCGAGTTCAAATTCAAATTGGGTTTGTTATATTAAGTTATGCGCAAATATTTTCCCCAGTTATGGGTTAATTACTAAGGCTTGTATCACAAACCATTATTATCTTCAAAACATTCTTACAATCTAGAAATATTTTCTAGCTTTAAATGATCTGCAAAGGGTTGATAAGCTGTAAACGAAACGAATCAATCAATCATTTTAAAGTCGTTTCCAGTGTTTGAAGCAGCAACATTCAAAATTAAGTAGCGTTGGTTTTTCAAAAGATGAGCTCCCAGAATTGCAAGTAACGAAACTGAAATTATTCCTAAAGTTGAAATTTAATATTGTTAATTTTATTTCAATGGGTTTTCTTTCTTTTATTCATTTCGAGTTGTCTTTCATTCATATAAGCTACTTTCAAACTGATGCCTGCAAAGATCGATAAAAAGGATTTAACAAGATTTTAAAATCAATCCTAACTGGCGTTTTCATCAGTCGATCTTTTCTCACGGGTTTTTTTGCTTTCTTTTCTAATTCTCCATTTGCATATTTTCTTTTTTTTTTCGTTTTCTTCGTCTCCTCGACGACATTGTGCATTTTCTTTACAAACAATAAATCCGTGTAGGGCGTCCCGGCCTCATTGACCCATACCTGATCCTTTTTACCTTCGTTCCTTCATCTCTTTTAAGCTCTTTCTGTCTTACCCTAATTACGACGCTTTCTTTCTCCGATAAGGGTCAAGTCATTCATTGCTTTCCTCCATTTTATACATTATTTGATTTTCTTAATCTCAATGTAGATTTATTTCGTTAAATCTTTCATCCCTCTTTGTCTTTGATTTCTTCTTTATTCATCATCATTACGTGGCTTCGGCCTTTTTATTTTACGTTTACTTTCTTCAATCAATCTTTCAGAATTAAGCTTTCCTTTTTCGTTCATAATTTTACTTCTCTTTCCTTGTCACTTGATTTATTTATTCTTTTTTGTATATTTTTTCATTTTGTTTTGATTATTCATACATTACTGTTATTTCTGCTTTCATTGACTTTTTCTTCATCATCATCTTTATCTTTTTCTTCTTCGTCGTCGTCTTCTTCTTTTTCTTCTTCTTTATCTTCTCCTTATTCATCTTCCTCTTTTTCTTCGTCATCGTCGTCGTCTTCCTCTTCTTCGCCCTCTTCTTCTTTATCTTCTCCTTCTTCATCTTCTTCCTCCTCCTCCTCTTCTTCGTCGTCGTCTTCGTCGTCTTCCTCTTCTTCTTCTTCGTTGTCGTTGTCGTCGTCGTCGTCTACATCTTATTCGTCGCGTTCTTCCTCTCTTTTTTCTTCTTCTTCATTTCGTTCGCCTTCTTCTTTTCTTCTTCTTCTTAAACCATCTTATCTTCACGTCTCTTCTTCATTATCTTCTACTTAGATTGTTACTTCCACTGTTCACTCTCTTCTTCTTCTCTTCCTTCTTCTTCTCTTCCTTCTTCTTCTCCTCCTTCTCATTGTTATTATTATTATTATTATTATCTCATATGCTTTAATTCTTTTTTCAGTATATTCTTTTCTCATACGCTGTAATTCCCATTGTTTTCTTCAAACTCTCGCTATTTCCATTCCAAATATTTAGACGAAATCCATTATTTCCACCCCTTGAGACCTTTACATCTAAGACCCACCATGTGACATCCACAGGTTCGAATCACCCTCATTCTATTCGAATTACATTTGTAAAGAATTAGTTTAAATTGTTCCATTCAGAGAGTTTTTTGTCCAAGAACCACTACTATGCGTGAATGATTTCCCGAAAGCTACAATCGTAACAACTTGAAGTCAAGAGTCAGTTTTTACTTCTCCTCTATATCACCCATAATCTCCACTGTTACATTCATATCACGCACCTCTATCTTGAGTGGCTCTTGAACTTTAGATTGGATGAAAATTAATAAAGAGAAACCCGTTTAGTCTTTTCTGCCTGAATTTCTGAGACGAGGAATTATTCTTTTCAAATGGACTACTGTCTTCATTTCTGTTGCTATTACAACAACGTTTTAGAAGGCACGCTAGTGGATAGCGGCTCGGATTGTGGAGTCGCAGAGCCAGTCGGATTCTTTTACGTGCTAATACCCTTGGGAAATGCTTCTCTCCCCAGCTATGGGTAAATAGCAGGACAGACTTGGTTCTATAAAATTGGGTGGCGACTGAATCGGAATTAAAAAAAAAACTGTAAGTAACCCTGGTGTAGCGCATACTATACAGCTAAAGAAAGGATCGTTCACATTGGCTCGATGATCCTGATTACGGCTGAATTATGATGACAATAACGTTTTGGTCGCCTTAATCATGTGCATCAAGGGATGTCGAACTGAACCCTTTATTTAATCTGTGTGTGTGCGCGTTTATGTGTTTGTATATATATATATATATATATATATATATATACACACACACAGGCACACACACACACAGAGAATACATAAAGGGTTCAGTTCGACATTCCTTGATGCATATATATATATATATATATATATATATATATATATATATATATATACATGCCCTTGATTCCTTGGGAAACATAGGGTTGTAACACTACCTCAGCAACGGACACGGTTCCGGCGATCCTTTTCAGCCTGGCCTATGTTCTGCCGGCTGTCTTCACCTCTGCGTCAACATTTCTGCGCAAAGTTTGTTTTGGTCGAGCCACTTTTCGCTTCTCTTGTGAATTCCAGTCTGGGGCCTGCTTACCTGGTGACACTAGAATCAAGCTTGCGATGTGAGTCCCCGATCCATCCCCATTTCCGTTTCTTGATTTCAATCTCGACGGGGAGACATTGTCTTCGCTGACCATGTTTAGATAGATCTCGTCTAGTGTACACTGCCCAGCCCGGGGATTGAACTCACAGTTGCTATGACACAATCATGAATAGCGAATTTAGAGTCTTCAACCTAACCTTATGTGATACCCCTTGTCATATTTAGTTTTATTTTACTTTCGTCGCCATTAATGTGCCGAATCCGTTTAGCCCGTAGGTGGTCATGGCCCTCCACGACGTTCTTTCCTTTATAACTCTTAATAAATTTTGCCTTTTAGTTAACTCTCTTAAACACCGTTTCGCCATCCATTTACTCAACCACTCTAGGTAGGTTTATACGCTGTTTTCCTCTGTCCAGCTTGCCTTCAATCTGTCCTGTGAGTTTCAAATTTTCCAAGCCCTCTTTCCTCATAATGCGTCTTAGAAATTTCAACTGCCTTTTCCTGATGCTAAGTATCTTTCATTTTATGTACCGTGTCCTTTCAGGACGTAGGCGGTCATGGCTCTCCATTTCCCCCTATCCCCTGTTGCTCACAATAAACTTACACCCTCTGCCATCTCTCCCAGAACACGTTCTGTCACCCACTCGCTTAAGCCCACCAGGTACTTACCCTTGTCTGTCTTTCCCTCTATTCGACCTGTGAGTATCAAATTCTCCAAAAGCTCCTTTCTCGTTACGTGTCCCAGACATTTCAGCTGCCTCTTTCTTCTGTTAAGCATAAGCTTCCTCCTTGTTTACATCCTCTTCAAAACCTCATCTTTGCTCACACGCTCGGTCCATGATATCCTTAGCATCCTTCTATAGAACCATACCTCCGTCGCCTCGAGTCTCTTCTTCATCTTTGAGGAGACCGTCCAATATTCTCTGCCGTAAAGCCGGACAGATATCAGTATTCTTTTCTTTGTTATCAAAGAAATCCTCCTGTCTCGCAATACTCTGCTCAGATTTTGGAATGCGCTCTTCGCCATCCCAATACGTCTACGGATTTCAGTGTCGCTTTTGCCGTCCTCTGTCAAAACACTTCCCAGATATTTAGACTTCCTGTCTCCCCGATCTGCATATTGCATTTTGGTCTCATCCATTTACTGATGACTATGCATTCTATCTTCTTGGAGTTTGTCTTCTGTCGATAGATTGATTGATCCGTTTTCTACAGCATACCAATATTTTTCAGGTTATTTAAAGCCAGAAAATATTTCTCGATTGTAAGAATTTTTTTAGAGATAATAATTATTTAGTGATACAAGTTTTACTAATTAACCTATAGCTGGGAGATAATTCATAACTTTCCAAAAGGTATTTGTGTGTAATAGAATATAACAAAACTTGCTGGAATTACGAGACATTAACCATGACACCACCTGCACATCCAAGCTTACAGCACCTGGTATTCCCAAGTGGTCACCCATTTTGATACTGACCAGGCTCGATGTTACTTAACTTCGGTGATCTTACAGGAACCGATGTTTAAACATGATATGGCCATAAGCCGCCGTATCTGTTCTCTTCATCCATTAATGGTCATGGTGACATTACCTGTTTCCTTATAAGGAAATATTTGGCATTCATTAAGTGAAAAGACATTGCTAGTATTGGTTGAAATTTATATTTATATTAAAACAATTTTTTAGGGAAATAGTTTCTCAAGCCAACTAACTGTTATCGCTCTTTCCCTTATTGATGGGAGTTTCCTTCCTTCCTTTCTTCTTTCAAATAGTGTGGAATATCATTATCTCAACGAGGTATTGCTTCTGTCGAAAGTCCTCAAGCCATTCCGTTTCTAGCATCTGGTATAGTTATTTGTTTGTGATTCTGTAACGCCTGTCCACAAGATTTGAAGATCAAAGGTCTTCTCCAAGATCCACAAGGTTCACTCGCTCGAAGTCACTTTAAATTATTGATCTGATAAAGCTGTTCTATAGAGATGATAATTTAGACGATTTTAGGCGGTGTTGCTCGAACTGACATAATAATAATAATAATAATAATAATAATAATAATAATAATAATAATAAAATGTGGCATATGGGAACATCAACACTCCTTGTTGTAGTTGGAGCTCTAGAATTGGTTGGAAAAGATTCCAGTAGACTAATTGAAGGGATTCCTGGAAGTCCATGCCTCAAGTACAGCCCACACTTTACGAAGGGCTTTATCTATGTAATTTTTTTTTTTTTGTCAGTGGAAAGTGTCATGATGCCATTTCTAACATTAGGTCCCTGGGAGGGAGCCGTAAAGAAATGTGTAAACGCCAGAAATCAAAGAAAATAATAATAATAATAATAATAATAATAATAATAATAATAATAATAATAATAATAATAATAATTTCTATTTTCGTTTTTCAACACGATTATTATAAGTTTTTCCTCTCATTTTGACTCGTTTTTACACTAAAGTTCAACCAGTACAAGTCTCAAGAGCCACTCAAGTAAGAGGGTTATTGAATGTAAGGGCTGATATGTTGGCGTAGAAGTAGTATTCGCTGAGACCAAAACATTTCACTCACTCGAAGCTATTTTTAAGGATCGATATGAGAAAACGGTTTTATACGGCTTAACGGAAATAGAAATACATTTTTACGTAAAGAAAAACGGTTGTGGGTGAGATGAATGAAAAAAGAATAACCGAGAATGAAAACGTAATAGAGAATAAAAGAAAACCTGTTAAATTGTTTTTTTTATTTCTAATTTAATAACAAAATAAAAAAAAAATTAAGCGAAAATTACATAAAATTACAGATCAGGAGAAAAATTTGAAAAATCTGCAGAAATAAAAGTTAAAAAAAAATCACATTCAAAAGGCAAACGAAGAAATAAAATAAACAAGATGAATAATGCGAGTGAAAGAGCGAAAAGGCCAAGAAAAATTCCATCATGGAGTTCTTGTCGGAAGTCGGAGTTCATTGGTCGCCGCGTGTCACGTGTCATTGGCGATGTCAAACCAATTAAATGCCTGCTTTTGCACGCCACTTTGACTCAAGGGTCGTCTTCCGGTATCATGTTGGCATAAACGGCTCCTGCTGGTGTCGAACGACACCACGTGACCGAACCATAGGCGTAATCAGCCGGCAGGGGTGCATCACGAACTGCTTGACTTTGTATAGACATTTAAGAAAAGGGAGGGGGGAAAAGGACGAAAACGGATAATGTGCCGAGAAAAGTGTAAAAAGAAAAGAAAAAAGAAACTCGCCGAGAGAACGAGGAAGGGGAAGGAAGGATGAAGAGGAAATGAAAAGAAAAAGCAAATGTCGAATTGAATGAAAGGAAAGGCTGAAAAAGGCAGAAAGAGAAAAGAAAAATAATAGGAAAGGAAAAGGATAAAGAAATGAATTAAAATAAATTCAAAGAAATATTTTTCTGTATGTTGACCTCCTATTGATAATAGTCACGAAAATAACAAAAGAAGCAAAATAAATCTTCCGTTTGCAAAATTACCGAATCACACAAAAGATGAAGTAATGATATTGATAATAATATTGGGTACAAATGAAAATGAATAAAAAAAAACTCAGTAGAGAATTTTTTAAAATGAAGAAGACACTGGCAACAAACCGTTTTTAAACGGGTAGAAAATAAATTCAGTAAATATACAAAAAATAGAAAGAGGCGTAAGTCAAGGATGCGTCTTCTCGCCAGACATTAAATCAATCCAGAGGCCATACTGAGAGAATTAGAAATCCTACCAAGATTCATTAGTAGCGACTACTTAACATAATATATGCAGATAATACAGCAAAGACACAGAGAAGAAACTATAGGAACTAAAGATAGTTGTAAAGTAAAGCGAGAAGAAAAGATTAAACATAAATTGCAAGAATATAGAATAAACGGTTGTCAGTAAAAGGGACACCCCAACATAGAAATTACAAATTGGGAATACCAAAATCAAACAAGTAAAACAATTTAAATATCTGGAAAGTATTTTAACAGTGGACAGAAAGTTTGACACTGAAATCATAAGCCGAATTAGGATAGCGGAAAAATGTCTTTCAAAAGCCAAGCAAAATATTAAGAAACTTAAAAGAAACAAAGAAAAGACAATTGAATCGTTATATAATATCAGTCCTCCTATATGCCAATGAACGCTGGACAATTTCCTCACAGATGAAGAGATTTGAAGCAACAGAAATATGATTCAACAGAAAGATGCTAAGAATACCATGGACCGAACATGTGAGCAATGACAAAGTTCTACAGACAATGGGAACAAAAAGGACATTTATACTTAAGATCAGTAAGAGAAAGTTGAAATTTCTACAGCACATAATGAGGGCTTGAAAAATTTTATACTCACAGGACATATTGAAGGCAGATACAGTTTGTTCATATCTATCTTTTTCAGTTTGTGCATATCTATCTATATTTTTCTATTTGTTCATATTTATATTTTTCAGAGACTAAATATATTATTTCATACTTTATACAAGAATTTTAATAATTTCACTGGTTTAATTACATTGAAATGCGTTTTCCATTTATTAGGCCTAAGCAGAAAATATTTAAACAACCTTGATTTCTAATTCTTATACAAAAATCCAGCAATCAAGGAAAAACTGGTCAAAATCCAAAGAAAAATATTGTGTACCTTTGAACTTTGCTGCTTATAATAAAATGAACTCATAGATATATGCATTCTTTTATCATTTCATCCCAAGCAAGGTGATAAAGCCACTAAGATACAAGGGGATTACTAAAAATGAAAGAACAGTTGAGTGAAAAAAACTACGAAAATGCTACTGGGGAGAAACGATGAACACAGGGTTCAAGAAACATGAAAATAGCCTAGGAGTAAAATTTTGTGTAAGCTAAAAAAATTTTTGAAATATCCTCATAATTCTTTTTGCATTTCATCTTTTTATTTTCGTGTGGAACTATTATAGTTATTTTATTGTTTTTTAGACTCATACACTTATTTTTGATTAACATCCTGGAAGGGATAAAAAGATTTTCAAGATATTTTGCAAGATGAAAGGACTCAACATCAACTGCAAGAAAACAGAATACATGTTTGTTAGTAAAAGAGACACCCAACGTGAAAATTACAAATTGGGGATACCAAAATTAAACAAGTAAAACAATTTAAATATCTGGGAAAGTTTTTTAAACTGACCACTCTAAATCCGACAGTGTACTCTGTAGGCGAATTGGGATAGCAAAAAATGCTTTCCAAAAGCTAAACAACGAAATTAAGAAACACAAAATTTCATTAGAAACAAAGAAAAGAGTATTGAACTGTTACGTAATATCAGTATTACTATATGGTCGTGAATGCTGAACAATCTACTCACTGACAAAGGAGAGACTTGAAGCAACAGAAATGTGATTCTACGAAAGGATTCTGAGAATACCATGAACCGAACATGTGAGCAACGATGAATTTCTAGCGAAGGAGAACGAGAAGAAGAGACTAAGCATAAACTATAAGAAAACAGAATACATGGTCATCAGTAAAAGGAAGAACTCGAAATGTGATTTACAGGTAGGGGACACTAAAATCAAGCAAGTGCGGGAATTATCTGGGAAGAGTTTTGACAGAGAACGGCAAGTGCGACGCTGAGATCCGGAAACGTATTGTGATGGCCAAAGACGCATTCTAAAAGCTGGGCAGAGTGTTACGAGACGAGAGAATTTATTTGGTAAAAAAAGAAAAGAGTACTGAGCTGCTATGTGACATCAGTCCTCCTTCACGGCAGCGAATGTTGGACGGTTTCCTCAAAGATGAAGAAGAGACTCGAGGCAACTGATTTATGGTTCTACAAAAGGATGCTTAGGATATCATGGTTGAGCGTGTGAGCAACGATGAGGTTTTGGTGAGGATTCAAACAAGGAGGAAGCTTATAATTGACATCAAGAAGAGGCAGCTGAAATTTCTGGGACACGTAATGAGAAAGGCGGGTTTGAAGAATCTGATACTCACAGGTCGAATAGAGGGAAAGAGAGACAAGGGAAAACAACGTATGACAGACCCGGCGGGCTTAAGCAAGTGGATGACAGAACATGGTCTGGGGGAGGTGGCAGAGGAACGAAACTTATTGAAAGCTGCAAGGGATAGGGGTAAGTGGAGAGCCATGATCGCCTACGTCCTGAAGGGACACGGCACATAAAAAAAAACTCTTTCCTGGGGTACATTAGTTTATTCAGGATAGTTTAAGAGTAAAACGTTTTAACGATTAACCAATGGTGGGCGATTTTTCTAGGGGTTTTTGAGCACTGTTTCCAGTTAAAAAAAGTTACCCACATTAATTGTTTCGTTTTTTTGTGGCGTTTCTTGATAGATGAAATCCTTCATATCCTATCAAACAGAGAGCATAACTTTGTTTCAGGTGGATTCCTGTTTTTTTGGGGGTTTTTTATCGATTTTGCAGTGAAACCCACTTATTTTCGTTTCTGTTTGACATGATTACTGGGACACTTTTCTACACCAGAAAGTTCCATTGCAAGTTTACGATTCCATGACGAACAAAGAACAACACTTTGATGAGATTA